TATGAAGCCTTTCTTTATGATTTTTACCTTACTGCAACTCTTGATTGTGTGCCTGTGCTGTGAGAAGCTCTGGGCTGGCAGGAGCTAAGGCCAGGCAGTGGTGGGCTCCTGGGACCAGTTCTTCCAGCAGTGTGCCATGGTGCTTCCCTCTGGCTGGGGTGGGAGCTTGGCAGCCTGGGAGGAGCACAGGAGATCTTGGAGGTAAACTGGGATTTCAGGAATGGGGAACCCTGTGGGAGCACCAAAGGGGAGGTCAAAATCTGTGAAGTGTTCTGGCTAAAATCAAAGCTTCTCTCTTACTAAGCTGACCTTTGTTGGGTGGGGAGACAGAGAGGAGCTGTCACACCCTGCAGGAGCCTGGCCAGGTGTTCACAAGCTGTCTTCACTCCTGCTCCCTCCCTGGGAATGAACTGCTCTGTCCTGCTGGCTTTCCTCACAGGTAATTTTGAACAGGCCAATGAGGAGCTCAGAGCCATTATCAAAAAAATCTGGAAGCGAACGAGTATGAAGCTTTTGGACCAGGTGATCCCACCTATTGGAGGTATGTCCCCAGTGTCCCTTCCAGAGGGACAGAGCAGCTCCTGCTCAGGGCCCCACTGCTCCAGCCAGGCTTGTGACAGGCAGAACCATCGTGTTGGTTTGCTCCCTGCAGATGATGAGGTGACGGTGGGCAAGTTCTATGCTACTTTCCTGATCCAAGAGCATTTCAGGAAGTTCATGAAGCGCCAGGAGGAGTATTATGGGTACCGGCCCAAGAAGAACCCTGTGGAGATCCAGGTTGGTGTGTGGGTGGAGGGGAGATTCTCCCTGGAGGCAGGCAGGGAAGGGAAGAGCTTCCCCCAGCCTGGGGGAGTCGAGGGGCACTCAGAGAGCTGCAGGGACCCTGTGCCTCGGGCCTCTGGGGGTGAGGTGTGCCAGGCAAACCAGCACTGAGCTGGCCATGAGTCCCCAGCACTGAGGGGACCCCAGTGTGACCTTGGTGTGCAGGCTGCAGGTGACTCAGAAAGCAGAGGAGGGTTTTGACTCTCTGCTGCACTCACTCTCAGTGTGGAGAGGGCTTGGCAGGATCTGCTGCCTCACCAAGGAGTTTTAACACCTGCAAACTCCCACCCCAGACCATTGTCTGTGCCAAATGCTGCTCATCCAAGCCCTTATCCACCTGCACTGCTCCAGTCCCAGGGCCTTGTCCCTCCTGTCCCCCTAGCAGTGTGGACAGCTCCATGTGCCTGGTGTTCTCTCAGCCTTACAGAGCACCAGGGGGAGGGGGGTCAACGTGGCCGACTTTGAGTGGGACCCCTGCAGTCAGAGAAGCCTGCACAGCAGGCCCAGGGGGTGCTGGCAGAGGGTTCCTGTGCCTGGCCAGAAGGCTGGGATGTCCCTAGGCTCTCCTGACTGAATCACCTGGGGAGATAAAAGAGCAGGCCCCAAAGGTGCAAAGCAAGGCAAAGAGCCAGGTCCCAGATTAGGGATAGAGGCCCAGCCTGCCCTTGGCTGTCACCAGCCCAGCCCTCCATCAGGGCTCCACCATTCCCTTTTGGGGGACAGCATGAGCCCAGAGACTGTGGGACAGCAGCTCAGGAGCAGTGTCACCCAGCAGAGCCAGCTGCAGGCTGTGACCCGAGGCCTGTCCTTGGCAGGACACCTGGCAGGGGTGCTCACCATGCTTCCCTCTCCAAAGACCAAGGTGAGGGTGCTGGGGTCACCCCAGCCCTGCCTTCCTGTCCCCTCCAGGCTGGGCTGAGGAGCATTGAGGAAGAAGCTGCTCCCGAAATCCATCGGGCCATTTCCGGGGACTTGACTGCAGAGGAGGAGCTGGAAAGAGCCATGGTGGAGGCTGCCCTGGAGGAGGGGATATACAGGGTGAGTTCAGCCTCAGGGCACAGCACAGTTTGGTGTCCCAGCAGCCCTGATTTCAGTGGTGGTGGTGGGTCAGCTTGGCTGCCAGCTCTGGGGAACAGTCTGCAGGGTGTGGGCCACAAGGATGAGCAGCACTTCTGTCCTTTCTGTGAGCATCAGGACGTCCTGGTTGTGTCATCTTGGACAAGCTGCTCTCTGCCTCAGTTTCCCCTCTGTGAAAGGAGCCAGCCCATGTGCCTGGCAGGGCTGTGCTGGATAGTTTCCTGCTGGTTTGGAGGTTCCCACTCACACGTTCTGCCAGGCTCAGGTGGGACAGCTCTGGTGTCACTGGAACTGATTCACTTCCCACTCCCTGTGAGCCTCAGAGACAGCCTGGGCAGATGTGGGGTTGCAGAGTTCCTTCTGTGTCCCCAGGTGCTGCCACCTCAGACTGTCCCACAGAGGTGACAGGATTTGTCTTGGGCTGGCTTATCCCAGTGCTGCTTGTCTTGGTTTGAACAGCCAGGTGTC